TTGCCAGTCCTTCGTTTCAAGCTGTCTGTCTTCCCACTCTTTCCACCCTTTTCCTCGCACCCTCTTTTGATGCCAAGGGGCCTGGCTCCACTACACAACAATCTACATGCATTTGGACGCCTTCTGACCCCGATACATTCAAAAAGTTGAACTCGTCCTAATGCACCTGCCGCAGAAAGCGCCCTAATGCACGTAAGAGTGTTCTGTAGTGGACCAGAGGCCCAAAAAGTTCACCCTTTATAGTACAAGGGCTCCCTCCTTTTTTTGTTCTTTTTTTTTTTGTGTGGAATCAGGCCTGAAAAAGGTGTGGGAGCGGAGGCAAATTTCCCTTTTTTTCTTTTTTCTTTTTTTTTTTGAACAACAAGGTGCCCATTTTAGTATTTTTTTTCTTTTTTTCCCTTAATTTTTTTGGCGGTTGATCTGTTGGATCTAAGGTCGAGAATGACGAATCGAGGCAAGTGGGACACGCTAGCAAAGAGGATCCGATTTCACGCCTGCATGTGGACGTGTTTGTGGGGAGGTACGGAATATAGAGATTTTTTTTATTTTTTTTTTTGCATCTCTGCATAAAACACAACCACATTCAGACGCCCCGGGGGGAAGGGAAATATTACAGTCCAGATGGAGGGACGGCCTCTTCTTCTTCTTCTTTTTTTTTTTTTCTTTTTTTTTTTTCACTTGCTTTTAGCGAGGAACGGTCTTTGGTCGGTTTATCTGCTCAAGTGAACACCCTCATCGAAGAGGGTTCTTGTTAGATTTACCTTCCACATTTGGAAATTAGAAATGGTGATAGTGTAGTTCTTTCCACTTGGAAATTAGAAATGCTGATAGTGTATACCTGCCCTGGTGGGTAAGGGGGGTGTATTCAAACGAGGACTTCATCGAATGATATCTGAACGGAATTGCAGTCAGATATCGACTGATATCCGGACGCAATTGTGGTCAGATACATCCAGGATAGTCTGTGATTGCAGTCAGATATATCCAGGATAGACTATAATTGCGGTCAGATACATCCAGCCAAGTCCAACTGGGAGTAAGCACTGAATGGTAATGGGTTTTTTTTTTTTTTTTCTTCTTTTTAATAATGGTAATACACACACATGTGCAAGGAAAATAAGCAACAGCGAGATGACAATCCCAGATCACACCATCACATTGCAAGTCAAATAGTCACACCGTGTCCAGATAGCAGCATTGCACCAATAATGCACCAATGGAGTTTCGTAGCACTGAAAACCAATGTTTATGGAGAGCACACTCTCTCCTCTTCAACACAAGTATCCAGTTCCCTTACACTCACACTTGGCGCTCAGCGCCCAGCCTACTTCTACACAGCTACTACAGACTACCAAAAGACAATGCAACTGTTGACATCAGCAGCAGCCCGAAGTACTTGAAGATG